TAGAGTGTGGTCTGCACCTGTAATTCTAGTCCTTAGGAGGATAAGACAGGAGAATCCTGAGTTCAAGGCCAATATGGGCTGCATAGCAGGATTCCATCTCAGTGAAAAGTTACATAATAAAACACTACACAAACTTACTGTCTTCTGTGGCTGGGATTTTTCCAATTTGACCAAAAATAACATTAGCAGCTGACAAACAGTGCCTGGCCTCCATAAAGCAGAGCTGTTGGGGAAAAAAACAAGAGTGAATGTAACTACAATGAAGCCTTATTTACAACTAATAATGTCTACTACAGTGGGGAAAGCTATCCTATCAAGTAAAATCCCCTTAAGGAGGCCCTACGCAGTTGATGGCCCTTAAGAAGCTATGGAAACATGCAGTACCATCTGGCAGAGATATTGAGATTAAAAGAACAATGTCCCAAGTTCCTAATGACAACCCCAGCTGGTGGGAAGATGCTGCAGATGGAAGGTCAGCTCTCCTCTGGAATACCACAGACAAGAACACCAAGTAGCTGAGCTCACACCGACTCACCGCGCACTTTAGGTTCAGCTTAAGCAAAGTTCCATGCACGGTTAAGTCTTAGACCATTTACATTTTATCAGAAGACTGAAGATTTCATTGCCATTTGGTTTAAAAATTCTTTTTACACTTCTACCATTCAGAGGCAAGACAGGAAGAGACTCCTGTCTTCTAAAATCTGTTGAGCTGACAAGGCTTCCACCGAGCTTTATAATCAACAGATTCTACAGAGGAACTTTATGGAACTGCTTTGCCAGCACTCTTGAAGACTTCAGGATTCAAATCTGGGCACAGACAACTTCTCAAACACTTAAAGAACACCTCTTTGTTAATCCTGGCATTTGGCATCTGTCATGTAAATCAGAGGATCACCCAGAGGAAGAATTAAGTTAAAGTCTGACTTTTAGATGGAAGCCACCTTCATTAAACAGAAAGTCTACTTCATACTAGTAGAAATGGAAGGCTTTGAATGGTTGACTCTGACTTTCAAATGTCAGCAGTAAATATTATCTCTCCATTATAGTGAATTCAGAAGTCATCCTTGAGGATAGCTGGGCCCCATGAGCAGCATTACTCCAGCAACATCCACACTCCAAAAGAAAGTTACATTTTGACATGAAGACCCTTCACTCAGTCCTCTACAATGCCTTAACCATCATTATCAGGTTAGATATGTCCAGACTGGCCTCTTGTAAGCAACCACTAAGAACAGGAAGTAATGCCTTGTGCTCGCTGGGTGGCTGGTATACATGGGACTCTGGGACAGGTAGGGCCTTGCTGAGTGGCAAAACCTCATCACTCGAACTGGATGAAGATGACAATGACCAAATGACACTGCCTTTTCAAACACGTTCAAATCCCTTTTTCTGTGACAAACTTAGCTGGTTGTAACGAAGACTTTAAAAACATTTGGAAAAAAAAACAACTAAAAGTGTGGGGTGGAGGTGGGGGCTCATGAAAATTACTGCATGCTCCACAGAAGTTATGCTTAACAACTTCAAATTTTGAATCACACTTTCAATTAATACCTAGATTCCTCAGTACCATGAGTTATCTTTGGAGAGTTTTAAGTGCTAATTAAAATCATAATGAACGTGTCATTTTAAAGTTGCTAAAAAGGGGCTGGAGCGATGGCTCAGTGGTTAAGAACACTGGTTGTTCTTGCAGAAGACCTGGGTTCGAATCCCAATACCCACATGGCAGCTAACAACTGTCTGTAATTCCAGTTCCAAGAGATCCAACAGCCTCTTCTGTCCTCCTTGGGCACTGCACGACACAGGTGCACTTTACCTACATGCAGGCAATACATGCAAACACACAAAATAAAAATAATAAAATTTAAAAATAAATAAATAAATAAATAAATAAATGTGAGTTGAACATTTTTTAAATAAATAAATAAATAAATAAATAAATAAATAAAGTTGCTAAACAAACCAAACAAGGGGCCCCCAATAGCTGGAAGGAAGAAGCCACAAGCAGAGGAACTTCTAGACAGCGACCATGATGAAATGGAGTCATGGGAGTCTGGTGGGACTGAATGCTACAACAGATGCATTACTTACATGTTTGGTCTTAGACCAAAGTTCTAGAAGTGATGCTGCAGACACCATAGCCCTTTCGCTCCTGCTAATAGTTTTCCTGAGTGATACTCTGGGACAATACTTTAAACACGAGGCACATTTACAGAACCAGCTAGTAAGGATAAAGGGGAAGGCAACGGATAACCAAAGGTGAAAGAAAGACACTGATGGACCAGAGAATCACCAAAATGCCAGAGGCTTAGGAATTACAACTACAAATAAAAACACTTTCTATTGAAAGTGGTTTTGAAGTATTTTAATGCTGGCCTTACCCCACAGGAGGCAGAGGCAGGTGGATGGATCTCTGCGAGTTTGAGGCCAGCCTGGTCTACAAAGTGAGTTCCAGACCAGTCTCCAAAAAAAAAAAAATAAAAAAGGAGGGGGGAGTGTTTTAGCATTAGAAAAAAACAAATGGGTTACTAAAAAATACAACCTATAGCCGGGTGGTAGCATACGCCTTTAATCCCAGTACTCGGGAGGCAGAGGCAGGCGGATCTCTGTGAGTTCAAGGCCAGCCTGGTCTACATAGTGAGTTCCAGGACAGCTGGGGCTACAGGGAGACCCTGTCTCAAAAAAGACCAAAAAAACTCAAAACCAAAACCAAAAAAATACAACCTAATTCCAAGCAATTTGGATAGGCAGCTAGGAAGCTTGAGTTTGCCTCTGTGGAACAGTTGAGAAATAGGTCATAAAAACTTGGAACTCAGCAGATATTTTCAACATCAAAAAATTATTAGAGAGCAGCTAATTCTGAAAAATAACCGAAAGACATCACATGCTTTTATCAAAGCCCACATTTAACAGTCAACTTCGTCAGGCAAATCCTCAGTTACAAGATTACCACTGCAGCAAGATAAAGTTGTATCTGCAGCAAGATAAGAATCTGCAATTAGTATCACTAAAGTGAACTGAACAGAGTGCTTAGAGCTGAACCGAGTTGGTCTTAGGTAACTCTTAATTTTAGGGACTAGCAACGCATAGGGCCAGGATAAAATTGAGCACTTAGGATTTGAAAGTATCCATACAACACTACAGAACTGGAATGCACCAGCAACTAGGCTGCAGTTTATCTGGTTTTCCATGAAAAAAAACAAGCTACCTGTTTTCAGAGTGCAGTCAGTCCTCTTCACACACACACACACATACACACACACCACACACACATACATACCACACACACACACCACACACACACACAGGCTGTAGACACACCCCCAGGCACTTACCTTGTTGATGTAAAACTGTGACAAGGTGGCAGCATTGATAGCCCACTCCATGGGATGGTAGGCATTGTGCTCAAGCTGGCGTTTCAGTGTGCTGTGGCAGTAATGCGCAGCCTTCTCAAACATTTCCATGTGCTGGTAGACTTGAGCGAGGTAATACAGGTTATGAGTATAAACCTTCTCAAATCTGTGAAGAAAAAAAGATATCAACATTTGCACAATAGTTCACAATTTATAAGGAAATGTCAACTATGTTTATCTTGAGTTCTGCTTGGTCCTAGGATCTATGTGACAGACAAGGAAACTGGGTCCCACATTTGAACAATCATGTAACTTGCACATGGCAAATGGATGCACTACCCACACTGTGACCTGGATGAGCACCTTGAAGCAACAACCACCTGGTCTATACCAAGGGCTTCACTGGAGTTTCCACACCTACTGACCTTTTGGATCTTTCTTGTTCATTAAGTTTCTCTTCTTCAGGGAGAAAATGCTCAGCTGGATCGAGAGGAGGACTCCCAATCTACGGTTAGAGAACAAAGCTCTTTACAACTTTAAACTGTACACACCAAGCGCCCTCTTCTGGAGAAACTGGAGAAATTTTTACTTTTTTGAGATTCAGCCTCACTACATAGCTCAGGCTGGCCTCAAATTCATGATCTTCTTACTGGGGATTACAGGTACGTTTTTGTTTTGTGTTGTGTTGTGTTTTGTTTTGTTTTGTAGGCAGGGTCCTGATCTGTCGCTTAAGCTGGCCTGAAATTATGTCACTATGCAGCCCAGGGTGGCCTGAAACTCCTGTCAATCCTCCTGCCTCAGCCTGCTGAGTACTAAATTACAGGTGTTAGCCATCACACCTGGCTTTAGTTGAATAATTATTTAAATATATACTTTTTTTAAAATTTTTATTTATTTTTATTTTATGTGTATGTGTACATTGCTTGCATGCATGTAAGTGCACCTGTGTCGTGCAACACCTGTGGAGATCAGAAGAGGCTGCTGGATCCCCCAGGACTGGAGTCATGGACAGTTGTTAGCTGCCATGTGGATTATGGGACTCGAACCCAGGTCCTCGGCAAGAACAAGTGTTCCTAACTGCTGAGCCATCTCTCCAGCCCCTAAATATATACTTTTAAATTTTAATTTTTTACTGAACTTTTGCGATTTTCATACAATACAACTTGATAGTATTTAGATCTCTTCCACTACCCACACTTCCCCCAATTTAATGTACTCATATATATAATACTGCCTATAGTGTCTGATTTGTGTCCCCAAATGTCCTTCAGTGTGGGTCCATCCACTGGGCCCACCAAGAGTCCCAACCCTGTAACACACTGTCTTTCCCCCTCCCAGTAGCCATCAATTGCCAAAAGTTCCTTAGATTAGGTTGGGATTTCTTACTCATTTCCCCAGTGTCTATGCTGAATTTTGTCTGGTTTGAACTTGCACAGGATTTACACATGCTTTCAGCATTGCTGTGAGTTCGTATGAGTAACTGATCAGTTGCCTGGAAGACTGTTTCCTTATGGTCATCTACCACAATCTTTCCACCTCCTCTTCTGCAATAATCCCTGAGCCTTGGGAGGCAGAGGTTTGAAATAGGTGTCCTATTAATAAGCACTCTGTGGCCTCTTGTTCTCTAGGCATTGGTCAATTATGGATTTTTGTGTTAATGACCATCTGCTACATAAGGAAAGTTCTCTGATGAGAGTTGAGAAATGCATCCTATGTGTAGAGGTTGCACTGAAGATATGTCACTTAGGATCAAGCGTCTCAGAGACACTTATTTTTTTGCATTTGACCAGTTCTGGAACTCTGTAATGGTCTCCATCCCTATTTAATGGTGCTATCCCTAGTTAAATATTTTGAATATTAAGTTTTGTCTAGTAAAAAGGCTCTTTAAGCTGGGTGTAGTGGTGCAAACCTTTGATCCCAGCACCTGGGAGGCAGAGGCAGGCAGATCTCTGTGAATTCAAGGCCAGCCTGGTCTACATAACGAGATCCAGGTGAGCTGGGGCTACAGGGAGACCCTGTCTCAAAAAGACAAAAATTTAAAAAAAAAAAAAAAGGCTCTTTTAAAAACCTACATAAGGGGGCTGGAGAGATGTCTCAGTGGTTTAAAAGCATTGACTACTCCTGCAGAGGACCCAAGTTCAATTCCCAGCACCCACATGGCAGCTAACAACCATCTGTAACTCCAGTTCCAGGGGATCCAACACCCTCTTCTGACCTCCACTGGCACCGCACAACATGGGTGCACCTATCTACATATAGGCAATACACGCATATACATAAAATATTTAAAATAAAAATAAATAAATAAATACATACACAAAGGGGCTGGAAAATGACTCAGCAGTTAAGAGCACTGACAATTCTTGCAGAGGACCTGGGTTCAATTCCCAGTTATCCACATGGCGGCTAACAACCAGCAGTAACTCCAGTTCCAAGGGATCTGATGCCCTCTTCTGATCTCTGTGGGCACTGCACAACACAGGTACACTTACAACCATGCAGAAAATACACTCATATACATAAAATAAAAATAATAAATAAGCCAGGTGTGGTGGCGCATGGCTTTAATCCCAGCACTTGGGAGGCAGAGGCAGGCGGATCTCTGTGAGTTCAAGGCCAGCCTGGTCTACATAGTAAGTTCCAGGACAGCTGGGGCTAGAGGGAGACCCTGCCTCAAAAAGACCAAAAAATAAAAATAAATAAACAAACAAACAAATAAAATATTTTTTAAAAATCCAAAGCCTACAAGGCCAGGTGTGGTATTGCACACCTTTCATCCCACCAATTGGGATCTCTGTGAGTTGAGGTCAGTCTGGTCTACATAGAGAATTCTAGGCCAGCTGGGGCTACAGGAAGACTGTGTCTCAAAAAGACAAAAAACAAAACAAAACAAAACAAAACAAAACAAACAAAAACAAAAATACCTCAAAAGCCTCAAACCCCTCAAACCAAAACATCTCACATAAGGGGGCCGGAGAGATGGCTCAGCAGTTAAAAGCAATGGCTGCTCTTATAAAGAACCCCAGTCCAGTTCCCAGCACCAACATAGTGGCTCACAGCTACCTGTAACTCCAGTTTCAGAGGATCCAACACCTTTTTCTGGCCTCCGTGGGATTGCGTGCACATGGTATACTCATATACATGCAGGAAAACACTCATACACATTTGAAAAAAAAAAACACTATATAAGAAGCTAAGCGTGGTGGTGCACACTTGGGAAATGGAAGCAGGAGGATCAGAAGTTCAAGGTCACCCTCAAGGGTACCTCAAGGTACTTAGTGAGTTCAAGATCCTGTCTCAAAAAAAAAAAAAAATGAGAAGCTCGTGAGATGGCTCAGTGGGTAAGGGTGCTTGCTGTCAAGCCTGATATTCAATTCCCAGAAGGAAGCTGAAGGAGAGACCCAACACCTGAAAGTTATCCTCTGACTTCCACATGTGCCGTGTAGCATATACATTCGTATACTCTATGTATGGACACACACATACACAGATAAGCAAATGTAATAAAAATTTTTTAAAACAAAAAAAACCCTAACCATATAAAATAGTGATTTATTTAGAGTTAGAGTATTCGAAACTGACTACTAATGAAATAGTTATTCTAACATATTTTTCTCAAGAAAACAAGAAAAGCATAAAGATTACTCTTTCAATAACTAAATTAAAACCATTGATTACACTGTTCATTGTCTTGGGAAGGTTACTTTCTTGTGCTTGTTTCCTCACCTATGAAAAAGAAATGACAGCACCTACCTCAGAAGGCAGCTATGACTCAGTTACTGTCTGGAAATCCGTTATAATCTGTGAGAGCAGAAATGCTCACCCCTAGGCTTCCCCTCTCTGTGAGGTCAGTCCATCCACAAGCCCATCCTTGCTGCTTGCAGTAGTTTCTGTGGTGCCAGGGACTGTACCCAGAGCCTTGCCTCTGCTAGGTACACACTCCAGCACTTGGGCTTCCTCCTTTGCCCCATCCTTGCTTTGAATGGAACTCATCAAGTTCCCAAGGACAATACTTTCTATAAGGAAGTGTGATCATACATTCTGCCCTAGTTAGCTTTGACTGTCAATTTGACACAGCCTCATCATTTGAGAGAGGAACTTCTTAGATCTGACTGGCCTGTGGGCATGTCTATGGGGGGCTGTCTTGTTAACTGATGTAGAAGGGCTCAGCCCACTCTGGGCCAAACCATTCCTTGGGCAGATGGTTCTGGGTTGTACAAGAAAGCCAAACCTTAAAAATAAATAAATATTCTATAACTTGAAGAAATTCCCAAGAAAATGGGGTTTTTCAGGGGAAAAAATGTAGTAAAGGCCTATAAAACATAATTCTAACATACATTCTAAAACTCTCTGCTGATATGGTTAGCTTTCTGACTGCTCCAATCTCTGTCCTCAGGAAAGGAGATGCTGTGTGGTGGAGATCACATTTTCTTCACAGTACACTCAGCATTGTGCACAGGACTTGGTGCACAGTGAAGACGGTATACAGGAAATTAAGCTGACAAAGCAAACAGGAACGTCCATGCTATGTGTCCTGCTTACACTTGCTCCCGTTATCCATCATCATCTCTTTGCTATAGCTCCGAGAGTGCTCTCATGGCCTTTATGGAACACCTTGTTTTTGTGTTCTAGCCTAAGCTCACCTACTAAGTAGAATACAGCAATTAAAACATAGGTTCTAGCCAGGCGTGGTGGTGCACGCCTATAGTCCCAGCACTTGGGAGGCAGAGGCAGGCGGATCAGTTGAAGGCCAGGCTAAGCCTGGTCCACATAGTGAGTTCCAGGACAGCTGGGGCGACAGGGAGACCCTGTCTCAAAAAAGACCAAAAAAACCAAAAACCAAAAACAAAACAAAACAAAAAAACAAAAAACAATATGGGCTCTAAGCTCGGGAGTGGTGGCGCCCAGAAGCAGAGGCAGGTGGATCTATCTCTGTGAGTTCAAGGCCAGCCTGGTTTACCTAGTGAGTTCCAGGCCAGCTAGAGCTACAGGGAGACCCTGTTTCAAAAAGACAATAAAAATAAATAAATAAATAAATAAAAGAACCTTAGTTTTGGGGCTGGAGAGATGGCTCAGTGGTTAAGAGCACTGGCTGCTTATGCAGAGGACCTGGGTTCAGTTACCAGCACCCACATGGTGGCTAACAACCATTTGTAACTCAAGTTCCAGGAGATCCAATGCCCTCTTCTGGCCTCCACAGGTACCAGGCACACATGTAGTGCACTTATCTACATCTGGGCAAAACACACATACACTTAAAATAAAAATAAATCTTTTTAAAAAGCTTAGTCCTCAACATGCAATCATTTCAGCTACTGGAAGCTTCTCAGACAGCTCTACAGAGAAATTCCTAGGAATACTAAAGAATCATATCCACATTGCATATGAGGAATTCGTGTGTGTGTTCACAGGGACATGCATGCTGTCCTAGTTTGTTCTTCATTGCTGTGACAAAACACTCTGACCACTACCAACTTGGGGAGGAAAGGGTTTATTCAGCTTACATCTCCCAGGTCGCAGTTCATTAGGAAGCCCAAGGTAGGAACTCAGGGTAGGAACCTGGAGGCAGGAGCTGGAACACAGGTCATGGAGGAGCGCTGCTTACTGGCTTGCTCCCTAGCCCCTGCTCAGTCTTCTTTCTTATGCAACACAGGCCCACCTGCCCAGGAGTGGCACCACCCACAGTGGGCTAGGCCCTCCCACATCATTCATCAAGAAGATGCCCCCACAGACATGGCCACAGGCCAGTCCAATAGCAGCAATTCCCCAACTGAGGCTCCCTCAATCCAGGTGTGTCAAGTTGACACTAAAGCTATCCAGCACAATACCCCATTCTCATTTCACCTATAATTAGAGGAGGAAACACCTCATTGCTCCTGGACTCATCTTAGACCCGATTCTTTGTTCTCTTTCTGAGGATACCAGGTACTTGGAGCTGCCTTAGAGTCCTTGGTAGGAGAGTTTTCAGAGTTGCTCAGTGTCCAATAGTCTCTTAACTGCGTGTGGGCTTCTATAAAATCCAAAACAAGTACTGTCTTATTTCAAAGGGAAGAATTGGGCACACCTAAGCAAAACCAAAGTCCAGCAAAGTAGCTCGAGGCTGGACATCTGGGATTCACTCACGATCTTCTGGGCTCCAAAGGGTACTGGCAGCTCACTGCTCTGACTCTGCAGTCCACAGCACACACAGCTCGTCTCACAGACCCAGGCCAGCTCCATTCCACACCTACTGCTGTCCTTGGTGGTTGGTCCACGGTCCTGACATCTCCAAAAAGCTGGGGTCTCCACTGAAACTGAGGCTACACTTTCACCAATGGCCTCTTCTTGCCTTTGGGGTGCAACGTCTCAGATTCTCTCCATGACCCCTTCAATCCTGGGGTCTTAACTGCAACTGAAGCTTCACTTTCACTTATGGCCTTTCCTGGCCTCTCAGAGTGCCAAGCCTCAGCTGCTCTCTGTGACCCCTTCATGCTTTCAACACCAGAACCATGCAGGAGACTCTTACACATTACCAAGTCCTGCTTCCAGGTTGAAATAGAGGTGCGGCTCCCCTCTACGTGCTGACCCTGAGGAAATACCTCCCAGAAGACTCCACCACAGTGATGCTGGTCTCTTGTTACTTACAGCTGATTTTTCAGCCCCAGGTATCCAGCATCAATTGTCCCCGTAAAGCAAAGGTTTTGCTTCAGGTTCTGGTCTCTTCTTAATCACAGATGATTCTTCAGCCCCAGCCGACCAGAACCCACAGATTCTTAATCCAAAAATCTCACACGAACAGCCCTGATAGGCTCTGCTTCCCTTTGAAGCTTCACAAGACAGGCCTCCATCATCTACAACTCTTTCAGTGTAACTGTTCCAAGCTGCACTGCAACAAACTCTGAGCACGCAATGGCTTTTCCAGCCCAAAGTTCCAAACACTTTCCACAGTCCTCCCCAAAACACCAAGGTCAGGTCTGTCACAGCAATAGCCCAGTCTTGGTACCAATTTCTGTCTTAGTTTGTTCTTCATTGCTGTGACAAAATACTCTGACCACTACCAACTTGGGGAGGAAAGGGTTTATTTAGCTTACATCTTCCAGGTTGCAGTTCATTAGGAAGCCCAAGGCAGGAACTCAGGGCAGGAACCTGGAGGCAGGAGCTGGAGCACAAGCCATGGAGGAACACTGCTTATCGGCTTGCTCCCTACTCCCCCCTCAGTCTTCTTTCTTATGCAACACAGGCCCACCTGCCCAGGGGTGGCACCACCCACAGTGGGCTGGGCCCTCCCACCATCACTCATCAAGAAATGCCCCTCAGACATGGCCACAGGCCAGTCCAATACAGGCAATTCTCCAATTGAGGCTCCCTCAACCCAGGTGTGTCAAGTTGACACTAAAGCTATCCAGCACACATGCAAACACATGTGTGTCCATATGCAGGCCAGAGGTCAACCTCAGGTGGTATTCTTCAGGAGCCCTCCATCTTGGTTTTTTTTGAGCCAGGGTCTTTCATTGGCCTGAGGTTCATTGCGTAGGCTAGGCTGGCTGACCACTGAGCTCTAGGGATCCCCTGACTGACTCCCTAGCACCTCACCTGGTTCTTTGACATGGGTTCTGGGGATCAAAGTCATGTTTTCATGCTGTATGGTATCCTCGTTTGCTTTCTGTTGCTGTGATAAACACCACAATGAAAAGCAACTCGGGGAAGAAAGGGTTTATTTCAGCTTAGAGGCCATCATCCATGGAAGCCAGGGCAGAAGAGCTCGAGGCAGGAACTAAAGCAGAGACCACAGAAGAATGCTGCTTGCTTACTGGCTTGCTTCCCATGGCCTGCTCAGTTACCTTTCTTGTACAGCCCAGACACATCTACCTAGGGACAGCAATACCCATCCATAGTAGGCTGGGCCTTCCTGTATCAACTAGCAATCAAGAAAAATGTTCCACAGATATGCCCACAGGCCAGTTCTATAGAGGAAATCACTCAACAGAGATCCCCTCTCCAGGTATAACTAGGTTTGCATCAAGTTGAGAACAAAAGTAACCAGGACATGGGCAAGCACTTCACTCACAAAGTCACCTCCCCAGGCCATGAATGAGAAATTTTTTTATCATTTCTTGACTAGTTTCAATCCAAATTTAATGCTTTGTCAGACACATGACATACCTCTTTCATGTACTGATCATACAGCGCTTCTGATGACTCCAGGTAAGCCTGTGCAGTTTCAATTTCCTCTCTTTCAGACCACAAGATTCCCAGGTTATTCTGGAAAGAAAGGAAAATGATGATTCCATCCACAAAATTAAAGTAGTTTTCATAGTTTTAAAGTCAGTATTTACTGATCAAACAGTGATAGTGTCTGACTGACATACCCCTTTCTGCTTGCCCCACTTTGCTTCCTGTCTACCATGAGGTGAACACCCTCTGCCATGTTGCTACAGCCATGGTGCTCTGCCCAAGTGTATGTAGCCAAGCAACCATAGGCTAAACCTTCTAAAACTGTCAGTTAAAGGAGATGACCCCTCCCTTCAAGTGTTTAGGTCAGAAATTCTGACCATATCTACACAAAAGTTACTAATACAGACCTATAAATGTGTACCAGGATAAAGATATTTTATCATACTACCCAGAACATGACGTCTCTCTTAAAACTCATTAGTTCTACTATTCCTAATGTTGCTGTCATGAATATAAAACTTCTAAAAATATTTTAACTAGTTGCAGCTTATGTATAGGATAGTCCTGATATATCTGATAAGGTGTGTGTGTGCATGCATGCCCGTGTGGTAGCTATAATATACTTATTTATATTTTCTTGCTTTATTGAACTGGAATTTTAGGTATACAAGGATCACACATGAAAACATGCTATTTACTTATTTTTAATTAATTGTTTATTTTAGAGACAAGGTCTCGTTATATAGCCCTGGCCAGCTTGGAACTATTTAGACCAGGCTGGCCTCAAACTAAGAGATATCATCCTGCCCCTGGCTCTCAAGTGCTGGAATTAAATGCATGTGCCACCACAGCCTGTAATTATATATTTTTCAGGCCAGGTATCAATACGTAGCCCAAAATGGCCTCAAATGCTCAATCCTGCTGTAGCTCCCAAGTTCTGGGATTAGGTATACGCCACGATACCCCATTTTTTTTTTGCCAAAACTGTTAATCGAAGATTTGCTCTTGCTTTTGGTAAGAAAACCTCTAGTAATTCACCTTCAGAAGAGGATGGGTGAAATACAGTCAGCCATCTATATCAGCAGCATCTGCACCCATGGATTCAACCAACTGGACAGAGAATATCTGATGGAGAATCAAACATCTACCTGCATCTGTATGAAAAGACACACGTTTTTCTCATCCCCTCAGCAGTATAATACAACTATTCCCATAACATCTCACTATATTAACTAGTATTATAATAATCTAGAGATGATTTAGAGGCTGTGAGAGGATGTGCATACATTATATGTAAATGATACACTGTTTTGTATAATAGACTTTGAGTATCCATGGGTTTTAGTATCAATAGGAGTCCTGGGGGCGGCTGAGGATGTAGCTCAGTAGAGCGCTTGCCTAGTTTGCATGAAGCCCTGGGTTTGGGTTGATCCACATAAACCACATAAGCAAAGCATGGTGGTGCGTCCTTATAAACCCAGCACTGGTAGAGTAGAAACAAGAGGGTCAGAAGTTTAAGGTCACTCTCATCTACATAGCAAGTTCAAGGCCAGCCTAGAATATGTGAGACCCTGTCTTCTCAGTTAAAAAAGTAAACAGAAAAAAAAAAAAAATCAAGATCCTGGAATTCATCACTCACAGATGTCAAGAGATGACTGTCCTATATTTCATAGAATGCCAGAATTGCCAGGCATTGTTATGCATGCCTATAATTTAAGCACTCATGAGGCGAAGGCAGGAGGATCATGAGTTAAGGCCAGCCTTGGCTACATTGCAAGACACTGTCTCAAAAAAACAAACAATAACGACAAACTCCAAAATAGGGCTGAAAAGATGGTTCAGCAGTTAAGAGACTGACTACTCTTACAGAGTACCTGGGTTCAGTTCCCAGCACAACCATCCATATCTCCAGTTCCAGGGGATCCAACTCCCTCTTCTGGCCTCCACAGGCATTGCACGACATAAGTGTACTTACATACATGCAGGCAAAACACTCATACACATAAAATAAAAACAAATAAATAAAAACCCTCCAAAACACCTGATGTCATGATTATAAGACACTATTACTGGGGGCTGGAGAGATGGCTAAGCGGTTAAGAGTACTGGCTGCTCTTGTAGAGGACCTGGACTCAATTCCCGGCACCCACATGATGGCTAACAACTGTCTATAACTCCAGTTCCAGAGGAATCTGACGCCCTCTTCCGAACTCCACAGGTATTGCATGACACAGATGCACTTACACACATGCAATACACTCATACCCATAAAATAAAAATAATAAAATGTTTTTTTAAAAGACACTACTATTTTGTTTGTTTGTTCTCTGTGTGTGTGAGCTGCATGGTTTGTGTGTGCTATATGTACATGAAAGTGAGGGTCCATGTACACATGCAGAGGTCAGAGGAGGATTTCAGATGTCTTTCTCTATCACCCTCTGCCATATTACCTTGAGAAAGGGTCCCTCACTAAACCAGAAGTTCATTAAAGCTACTACTGGCTGGCCAGTGAGTTCCCAGGACTTGCCTGTCTCCACTGCTCAATCCTAGGGATACAGAGACACACAGCCATGCCCAGCTTTATGTGGGTACTGGGGCTCTGATCAAGAGTTTTCATGCTTGTACAGCAAGTGCCCTAATATACATTCTTATTTCAGGAATATGAAAATGTTACACATATCCATCTTAAGTCATTATATACTAACGACTCTTTATATATTTAGTATATATTATATACTACTCTTTCTGCTACATAAAGTTTCCTAATATTATATTTGAAATATTGGACTAATTTTTAGTGTTTAAGGTTTTAAACCCTCAAAAAGTAAGTTTTTTATATTTATTTATTCATTGTATGTGTGTATATGTGTGGGTATATGCGTGCCACAGTGCACATGTGCAGGTCAGAGGACAACACATGGATATTGGCTCTCTCTTTCTAACATGTAGGCACTAGAGATTGAACTCAAGTTGTCAGGTTAACAGCAAGAGCCATCCCACCAGCCCTCAAACGGTGTTTAAACCTTCTAAAAACCTTAATAGAATGAGTTAGTTATTTCTTGTTGTGTCAAAATACCTGACAAAAAACTTTTAAAAGGAAGACCTTGAGCCAGGTGTAGTGGTGCACGCCATTATTATCCCAGCAATTGGGAAGCAGAGGCAGAGGGATCTCTTTGAATTCCAGGCCAGCTGGGGCTACAGGGAGACCCTGTCTCAAAAAGACAAAAAAAAAAAAAGAGCTTGGAGCTGGAGAGTTGGCTCTGTGGTTAGGAGCACTTGTTACTCTTGAAGAGGACCTAGGTTCGATTCCCAGCACCTACATGGTGGCTAAAAACTGTTGGTAACTCCAGTTCCAGGGGATTGGAGGCCATCTTCTGACCTCTGCTAGCATTGTACAACACATGCAGGCAATACATTCACCTTGGCTCACAGTCAAGGGAATACAGTCCATCATGGCAGGGAAGGCCTGGTGACAGGAACATTAAGGTGTCTGGTCTCACCCACACTCAGGAAGGAGCAGCGAGAGACAGATGCTGGCCCTTGCTGATTTCCCTCTCCTCCCTTCTTCCTTGAGATGGTGCCACCCACATTCAGAGCAGGCCCTCCCTCCTCAGGCACACCTCTCTGGAAACACCTTCATTGACAAGCTCAGAGGGTGTCTCTTGGGTGATTCCACATTCAGTAAGCAGACAGTGCAGACTATCACATATGGTTAAAGCTTAATTCTAATAATTGAAGTTTTGCTTGAATTTAACGTCTTATGAATTTCTTTAGCTCACTGATGTCCTCCATAAATATGTGGCCATGTGCTAGAGCTATAAATAAGTGAGCAAGAAGGAGATACAGTTCTTATTATTAGGTGGCTTTTTTTTCTTGAACCATGATAAAAGAACATAACTTGACCAATTTCTAAGTTTTGAGATGTTTAAGATTTATTGTGTGTGTGTGTGTGTGTGTGTGTGTGTGTGTGTATGTGAACATGCATTTGGGTGCCTACAGAGGCCAGAAGAGGAGGGTAGGATTCCCTGGAGTTGCACTTACAGGTGGTTGTGCACTGCCCAATGTGAGTAGTTGCAGTTACAGGTTGCTGTGCAGTGCCCATTGTGAGTGCTGGGAACTGAACCCGGGTCCTCTACAGGAGCAGCAATCTCTCTTAATCACTGAGCCTTCTCTCCAGTCTCAAGCTTCTTCTTTAAGGCTGACTTACCCAAGGATCAATTTCTGTAAATATTCCCTAATTCACATATATTAGGATATATGAACTATAGCATGAAATACTCTAGGAGCCTAAGGAAAGTACCTAGCACATACAGGAGATTCAGACTTTCTTTTTTAAGTGTGGGCATGGAACCTGGAGCCTTCTACATCTAGGCAAGTGCTCTACCATTGAGCTTCATCCAAGGTCCTGGAATACTGTATTCATCATTTGGTTTTTTGTTTTTTAAATTTTATTTATTATTTTTATTTTATGTGTATGTGTGTATTGTCTGCATGTAGGTAAGTGCACCGTGTCATGCAATGCCTTCAGAGGTCAGAAGAGGCTGTCAGGTCCCCTGGGACTGGAGTTATGGACAATTGTTAGCTGCCATGTGGGTGCTGGGATTCGAACCCAGGTTTTCAGCAAGAACAACCAGTATTCTTAACCGCTGAGCCATCTCTCCAGTCCCTGTATTCATCATTTGTATTTTGAAGTGTTCTGTTCCCCAATGCAGACTGTGAGATCTGCTTCTTTTTATTTTAGGATTTTTTTTTATGTTTAAATTAAGTGTATATACATTAGTCTATGTGTGGATATTTACACATGAGTATAGGTGCCTATCGAGGCCAACTGATCCCCTGGAGCTAGAGTTACAGGCAGCTGTGAGACACTGTTGTGAGTGTTGGGAACCAAACTCAAGTCCTCTGCAAGAGCTGTATGTGCTCTTAACAACTAAGCCATCTGTCCAGCCCCTCAGATCTTTTAAAAAATTTTTTTTTAATTTTATGTATATGAGTGTATTGTCTGCATGTATGTAAGTGCACCCATGTTGTCCAATGCCCACGGACGTCAGAAGAAGACATCAGATTCCCTGGAACTGGAGTTAAGGATGGTTGTTAGCCACCATGTGGGTGCTGGGAATTGAAACTGGGTCCTCTGCAAGAGCAGCCAGTGCTCTTAACCCCTGAGCCATCTCTCCCACCCCTAGATCTGCTTCTTATAAACAAGACACAATAAGAATTTGAGGGCAGGAAACAGATCAGTTTGGATCAGTTCAAGTTACTAAAATGAGAGCCAGTCACGGTGCCCCACGCCTGTAATCTCAGCAAAGGGGCTGAGGCAGGAGGATCAGCCTGGGCTATATAACAAGACCTTGTTTGAAAGAAAAGGGGGGGGGGCTGAAGAAGAAAACTGTGTGGGGATGGTATGGACGAGAAAGGAAGGGAAGGAAAGGAAAGGGAAAGGAAGAGAGAGGATCCTAGCACTCCAGAGGTAGAGGCAGGAGGATCAACCGCAGCATTGAACACATGACACTCTCCCTATCTAAACACAAACAAAAAAGAAAGTTATTAAAAGAAGGTCTTGAGACCCGGTGTGGTGGTGCACGCCTTTGATCCCAGCACTTGGGAGGCAGAGGCAAGCGGATCTTTGTGAGTTCGAGGCCAGCCTGGTCTACATAGTGAGTTCTAGGACAGCTGGGGCTACAGGGAGACCCTGTCTCAAAAAGACAAAAAAAAAAAAAAAAAAAAAAAGAAGGGATTGAAACTATTTGTGAGAAAGGACAAAAGAAACAGTGTTATGAAAACCTGAAAATTAAAATTTGGGACTTTTTTTTTTTTTTTTTTTTTTTGAACCAAGAGTGGATTCTGACCCTTCCTTGCCCTTTCCGTTGCACTTCTATTACTTTGGGTTTTTCTTAATACAACGAAATTGGGCTGGTCGAGGAGCTGGAAAAAGGAGCCAAATAGAACAGGAATGCTCTGCCCACGACTAGGACAAGCATCAAGTGAGGCTGGGGTGGGCGAAGAGAGAACGGAGGGAGTTTGGAGGCAGAAAAAGACTAAACCTTTTTATTCCCCCGACACACACTGTAGCCCAGGCTACCCAGGAACCCTCGGTAATCCTCCTGCCTCAGCCTCCCCATTGCTGGAATTACAGGCATGCGCCCCCAGGCCGGTTTGCATGCGATGCTGGGGACGGAACCCGTGCATACAACAGGCCAGCACGCCGAACTACATGTCCGGCCAAGTCTGCCCCTCTGGACGGCTTTGGGCCCCCATTCCCTCGCTCTCACCTGCGCCTGGATGTACAGCGACACGCAGCCTTGTGACAGCCGAAAGGGGCGCAGCAGCCGCAGGCACTTGACCAGGTGCTCCTCGCCCGCCGACAGCTCCTCCGTGTCGATGTGGTTCACGCCCAGGTGGAACTCGATGACCGCCAGCCACAGCGCCCGCTGCGCGCCCGGACCCTCGGCCTCCCGCGCCTCCGCCGGCCCCAGGGCGGGGTCGCCCGCGCCCCGCGCGTCCTCCGCCGGCTCCTCCTCGTCGTCGGGCGCCGGGCCCAGCAGTGCCTTCACCTCCTCCAGCAGCGCCCGGGCGCCGTACTTGGACCTGTACGGCTCCTTCTCGGGGTTCTTGTGCAGTTCCACCCGGGACAGGGCCAGCGCCGCCTGGAACTTCTCGCGGATCTCGGCCCACGGGGCGCTTGCCATCGCGGCCTCAGTAGCCTCCCGACTCCGCTCCGACGCCCGCTTTGCGACACTTCACTTACGGCCCTCCCGACGGGTCGTGACCGCTGCTGCATGGGGACCAATGGGGGGCCGCCGTGGGGAGCCGCATTGACCAATGGGAAGGCATGCTGGTCACCATGGCAACCGTCGTCAGGGAAATGAAGCTGCCGGGGAGGGCCGCTGCGCCTCCAGCTCCGCCCCAAGCTTGGTGAGTACCCTGAGGATGGATGGATGCAGTTTATATGCGAATGCTCAGTGTCTGAGGGGTGGGTGTTGCTCAGTGTCAGAGGACCTGCCTACCAAGCATGAGGCCAGGGGCTCAATCCCAGCAGAGCAAAACATAATAAATATGAACTTAAACGAAATTTTAGGATACTATTTACAAACAACTACTGTCACTTCAGTTGAAAGGAAGCAATCTTTGAATCTTTCAGTGTCACCGTGTCTAAAAAAAAATTGTATTTGGGGCTGGAGAGATGGCTCAGCGGGTCTCCAGACCCAAAATATTTTTAAAATTTAAATCACACACACATACACACACACACACACACACACACACACACACACACACACTGGGGAGGGGCGGGGGGTACCACGGAGCACGTGTGGTGGTCAGAGGACAACTTAATTCCTTCCACCATGTGCGTTGGGTTCCTATCTGTAACTCTTGCACTTGCTGAGATGGCCAGAAATTGCTTCAAAGTAACAAACCCTGATTCCTTACAGCACTATTTATTGATTTTTGAGATAAATGTGTGGCCTGTTCTTGCCTCCGCAATCCCAAGTGTTGGGATTTACAGGCGCGTCATCACCAAGCCCAACAATGGCCCATTTATTAGTACTAATAATTATTTTCCTTTAAGAAAGTGTTTTGCTGGGACTGGAGAGATGCCTCAGGAGTTAAGAGCACTGGCTGCTCTTGTAGAGGACCGGGTTTGGTCCAGCACCCACACAGTGGCTAACAGCCATCCCCAAATTCCAGTTCCAGGGGATCTGATACCCTCTTCTGACCTCCACAGGCATTGTATGACAGAGGTGCACTTACATACATGCAGGCAATATATTCATACACATTTTTAAAAATTATTTATTTTAAAAAGGGTCTTGCTCTATAGCCCTCCTTGACGTAGCTCAGGCTGCCTTGAATTTATGGCAATCCTCCTGCCTCAGCCTCCCAAGTGTTGGGATTACAGATATCTGCCACCAAGCCCAGCTCAATATAAAACTTCTTTAATAATTTGATTTTACTTTGCTGTCGCAGTGTGCATGTGTCTCAGTATGTATATGGAGGTGAGAGGACATGTGGAAATGGGTTCTCTTCTACCATATGGGTCCTGAGGATTGAACTCAGGTCAACAGGCTTGGTGGCAGGTCCTTTTACCTGAGTCATCTCATAGGCCCTCAATATATAACCTCTTGAGAGTCATGAATATAAAAATCAGACAGGCAAGTGTTTTCAGTTCTACCTTAAAATACTGGCTGTCAGAGGTCACTCCTACAACTGTCAGGCCCTCATGCCAGCTTTTTTCCATTATAAACCTTCATGAGTTACAGTGTGAAGTGGAGGGGAAGAGGTAAGAGCTCAGTTCTTAAGCACTAGTTCTGTCAAGTGCATTGAGATACACAGGGTACGCACTGACTTTGTAAGCTGAGAGTTTGTTTTTTGTTTGAGGCAATATCTTATGTAGCTCAGGCTGACCTCAATCTATATAGCCAAGGATGACCTTGATCATCTTGCGTCTACCTCCCAAATGCTGGGATTATAGTTATGCACCACTGTACCCAGAGGAAGCTTAGATACTAAGATTTGACTTTCAGATAGCTTAGAGGTTATGTGCTTACTGATTTAAAGGTCCCCAGTACCCAAGTTGGGTGTTTTACAATCACCTCTAACTCCAGGGCCAAGGGATGACATCCTGTTCTCAGGTTCCCACACATGTGACATACACATACACATAAATAAAACATCGTTTTAAAAAAATTGATTTTCAGAGCCAGGTGTGATGGTGCATGCCTGAGGCAGAGGCAGGTGGATCTCTGTGAGTTCCAGGCCAGCCTGGTCTATGTAATGAGTTCTAGGCCATTGGGCCACAGGGAGACTCCCCCCAAAAAATTTTCAGGGGGCTGGATGATGACTGAGCAGTTAAGAGCACTGGCTGCTTTTACAGCGGACCCAGGTTTGGTTCCCAGCATGCATATGGCAGCTATTCTGACTTCCGAGGGCATTGTGCAACACAGGTGCACTGACACACATGCAGCCAATAAACTCATACACATAAAAATATTTTTAAAAATTGATTTTCAGGGCTGGGCACGGTGGTACACGCCTTTAATCCCAGTCCTTGCAAGGCAGAGGCAGGCGGATCTTTGTGAGTTCGAGGCTAGCCTGGTCTACATAGAGTTCCAGGACAGCTGGGGCTACAAGACCTTGTCTCAAAAAAAAGACAAAAAAAATTTTTTTTGATTTTCAGATATTATCGATATGTAGGATGAGACTAGACGCTGAAACTTTCTCAAACAAAATACAAAAAAAGCATGTTGATATGCCATTTAGGTGCAAACTATCTCCCCAGTGCTAGGACTACAGGCATGCAACATATTTGGTTGATAAATACTTGGGATGAAACTCAGGGCTATATACATGCTATGCAAGTACTCTACCAGTTGAGCTACATTCTTACCCCCAAGTTTCATTAAACATTTAAAAAATATATTTTACTATTTTTATGTGTATGAGTGTATTGCCTGCATATGCATGTAAGTGCACCAGTGTTGTACAATGCCTGCAAAGGTCAGGTGTCAGATTCCCCTAGAACTGAAATTACAGATGGTTGTTAGCCAACATGTGGGTACTGGGAATGGAACCCAGATCCTCTGCAAGAGCAACCAGTGCTTTTAACCACTGAGCCAACTCTCCAGCCCCTCACTAGACTTTTAGACCTAGTTTTTGATGTTCCAATAACAATGTCAAACTATTTTCATATTAGAAAACAAAAGCCACCAAAGTATAAAGTATTAATATCTTTATTATAGCGTAATGCAGCATTTATACATTAACTCATTTTACTGTAAAAACATTTTATGTACAACTACAGAGAAACTCCTATACAGACAGCTCCAACATAAAAACAGGATGTAATTTAAAATTCCAGTTATTTGATAAACTGGAAAATATTGTCTCTGTAGAAAACAGTAAAGTAAAAAAAATGTAGATATCTAGAGTAGCCCAACAAGCCCATTTTAAACCAAATAATAACTGAATTATAAATATTGTTTTAATTCTGGGACCCAGAAAAAAAGTTACCTTCATTTGTTGAAAATCACGTTTTATTTAAAATTGTATAAATGAAGCTTCTATGGATCTTTCCCCTTGCTGTTTGATTTTTGGCAGATCATTTTTCTACAGGCTAACACATAAT